TCGGCAGGGCTGCTCTCGATCCTTTCTTCCCCCAGCCTGTACTGATACCGAGGGTTACCCCGACCCAGGTGCAGGACCTTGCACTTGGCCTTGTTGAGCCTCATGAGGTTCACACAGGCCCACCTCTCTAGCCTGTCCAGGTCTCTCTGGATGACATCCCGTCCTTCTGGTGTGTCAATCACACCACTCAGCTTGGTGTCATCCGCAGACTTGCTGAGGGTGCACTCGATCTCGCTGTCTAAGTCATTGATGAAAACATTAAACAGCACTGGTCCCAGTACGGACCCCTGAGGGCCACCACTCGTCACATTCTCCCTAAGTATTACAAAAGCTATGGTTTATTCAATCCTTATCAGTAATATAGTGATTGAAATATAAAACAGAATTGAAACATCATCTTCCAAGGAGATCAAGAGACTTTCTGACAGAAGCAGCTTGTAAATCACAGGAACTTTCACACCTTTTTTCCCCCCCAAATTCAGAACCAGAATTCCAAACAGTCCCAACAGGCAGAAAGATTTTGTTTGTTTGTTTCAGTTGTTAAAAAAATCAATCAATCTGTCCATTTTAAAGTTCTATTAAAAATGAGCATCACAACTATTTTATATCTTAAAATAAAATTTAGAAAAAGCACTGTGACAACTTTAACTGGAAGAAAAAAATAAGTATGCCAGTGCTTCCAGCTGTGTAAGGAAATAAGGAAATACAGGATGAAAATGACGTCAAAAATAGCAAAATATAAATGCAGCCCAGAAACAGAGGAAGCAGAGCACTGAAATGACATGGAAATAAGTATTTGGAAATTCACTGAAAAGTTTTCAAATCAAAGTAAAATTGGTTCGGGAGCCAACGGGGATGAACTGCAATCAGCTCACATTAAAACAGTTGAACTACATTATAAAACTCTGGCTGAACATTTTTATCCTACTCTAAAAACTTCTGGGACCATGAAAGAAGTCAACTTATAATTACACTAGTGTAGTCTTGACATGAGCTTAGCTCCAAATCTTAATTTATCTAAACCAGACCCCATTATGTCTTCTCTGACTAGAAAGAAACAACGGTGACCTCTGTGTTCCCCACCACCCCCATAAACATATGTTCACTTTTAAGTTTTGGCATACTATTTGTCTTGATAATACCACTGGCGCTATACTGAGATAACAGAAATGAGACACTAGGAATCCTCCCTCCTCAGCACACTCTTCATCTTTAAAATATCACCAGAGCTATACGGAGGGAGCTGCAGCGAGACACCGGTTTGAGAGGAGTCTTCCCTTTATCCACCTTATTTTTCCAGGTCAAGTGCTTTCTGAGTTGTTGCTCAGGGTACCAAGTTCATCCCAGAGGCTGAATGACGCCCTTCCCCTCCGTAAATAATCTCTCTCCAACTTGCCTGTGAAGACCTCCTTGGTCTGCTCCCATTCTCCATTCCCAAAATGGCAGCTGGTTGCCCGATACTGCTGGCATGTTACCCCAGCAGCATGGAGAGCCTATTTTAGGAATGCTTGGTCACAGTCTAGTATCTACTACACCTGGCTAAAACCAAAATATTGTCAATGAAATAAGTGGTTTTACATCCACATGTAGGTAAGCACCATAAATCTGGCCACCTCTGTCAGGGAAGATGCTGAATGTAGTTTTACCTGAACATTGCCCCTTTCCTTTTCTATGTTTTCCTCGTCAAGTTCAAAAACATAAAAGTAAAGCCTGTGGCTTTATTTTGGAATCTGTTACTCTCTATGCACTAAGAAATTTCAATAATTAAAGTCTGATGTCTACTGCCCCACAAATCACCTGGATTCTGTATTCAAGTTTAGC